TTCATCGAGAGTTTGCGTACGATCCAACACCTTCGTCAGTGGAGATAATATGACAATTTTGACTTCGACTGTGTTCCAACAGACCCAAATGTTTTTAATTTTGTAAATTCTGGCGGTACGTAATTAATATTGTAATAAAATGTGCATATTTTTTGTGATCATTTCTGTTTCTTCATTGTGAAAATCAATGACGACTCAACTAATTTCGTAATTTGATTTCCCTCAAAGACGTAATCTGTCACTTGATGAATCAAATTTCATTTGCACTGTTTTTCGAGGGGGGTGCTCGGGTAAGCGCCTACCCCTAAAAAATCGTGATTTTCTGAGTTGAGGCCCTTGGGCGCTAACACGGTCGAGTACAGTTTATATATATATATATATACTTCTGATTTAATTACCTCAAAATCAAAAGTACTTTGGAAGAAGCCCTTCAGGTGAGAAGATAAAAGCACATGTTTGAAATGAACAAGTGGAAAGCTGTAATGAAACGTGGTCAAAGACACAAAGCAAGCAAGTGGCAAAAGCATATACAGTTGTTCAGCTCTGTTTTTTTTTTCTTTTTTTGAAGAGTATACAAAGCTGTAAATGAAAACCGAGTGCTTTGAGATGCAGTCTTTTGTACAGCATGTTCAGTATGGAGAGAAACATTGCAATGCACACAATATGGATACCAAAATGACAAAATAACACAAGGAAATGACACGTAAATAGTACAGTCGTACAATTTATCAAGCTGCACTGAAGCCGATTATGCAATCCATAGAGTCCCCATGCCAAAAAAAAAAAGATGCAAGAAATAAAGAAGGGTGAAACTTACGCCTACCTCTTCAAGACATTCTGTCTTTGAAGACTCCTTGAGGAAATTGAGGAATGACATTTGCGAGTCGGGACGGTTCGGTGCTGTTATCAAAGTAAACATAAAGGTATGTAATTACAATTTTATGGGAAATTCATTGTACGGCCAAACAACTATAACAGACAAGTAAGTGAGATATTGATTACAAATGCCACTTACACCCTGCATCATCCACTTTCAAGTTCAATTCTTTGATAGTCTCTTTAAGTTTCTCAACTTCCTCCAGCAATTCCTTGTTGCGGCTTTCTGATTCAGCCAACCGACTGTAAGACAGAACGGGAGAAGAGAAAGTTGAAATTAACACAATATTAGAAATTCACATTAGCGCAAACATGGGAGGAACATAGCAAGACAAAGACTATATCATGACAATACAATCATCACCTTTCAGTCCCGACATGGCTAGCCTTAATGTTTTTCAATTCTTCCATCACACTCTGTTTGGCTTGGATCTCGCTCTGCAGACTGGACTGCAGGTTGAGCAGTTCAATCTTGTCAAGTTTCTGAGAACGTCGCAACTTCCAATCCTTTTCCTGCACAAAGATAACAGAGTGACAATTACAACACACCATGCGGCAAGTCAGCGTGACGCATGATTTCTTCAATGATTGCACAAAATTGAAAGTTGTACACTGTATAATTTCTCTCGTAAACAAACCGCCTATTGTTCACTCCTCCGCTATCAAAGAAGAAAAGTAACAAGCAGCCTCTTGGCTGAGATAGCTCCGCTGTTAGCAATGCACATTTCAATTAAAGAACAGAAGATATCATTAGAAAATGAACAATATGGATAGTATCAATGCAATGGGACTTGCTGTTTTCAACAAGAATTCAAAAATATCATTTTTCACCATAAATGATTGTGGTTTTTAACAAGAAAAAAATATCACTTTTTACCAAAAATGCCAAAAATATTCACCAAAATTAGAGAATTAAAGATATCATTACAAAATGAACAAATCTGAGAGAGGTCCACATGTAGTACCTATATATGTAATATCAAAGCAATTGGACTTGCGGTTTTTAACAAGAAGTCAAAAATATCACTTTTTACCAAAAATGACAAAAATATTTATCAAAATTAGAGAATTAAAGATATCATTACAAAATGAATAAATCTGAGAGAGGTCCACATGTAGTACCTATATATGTGATATCAAAGGAATTGGACTTGCGGTTTTCAACAAGAAGTCAAAAATATCACTTTTTACCAAAAATTACAAAAATATTCACCAAAATTAGAGAATAGAAGATATCATTACAAATGAACAAATCTGAGAGAGGTCCACAT